GCTCCGGGACCCTCTTTGCTCCAGGTCTCACTCCACTGGCTCTCATTCTCCCATGTCCCACCCCCAAGGGGATGAGGAGCCTTTCCCAGTCTCCCAGGAGTGCAGAGAAGGGAGCTGCCCCGGAGAGCACAAGGTGTGAACTCAGAGCCGGGGCTGCCAATGGATTGATGATGACAGGCAGAGGCCTGGCTTCAGTCACTGCTGCCTGGCAGCCAGGCACTGATTGGATTTGTGTGCTGCACACATTTTGGGAGCACACTGCCTTAGATTCAAACCCGTCCTGAGCAGAGTTCAGCTGCAACAGTGAACCACAAAGCAGGAAGGGCCAAAGGTCCACAGTGCCCTGTACAACCTCAGTGAAATGTGCCCTGCTCCCCTCCCCACGCAGACAGCAGAGTGCTGAGAGGGCTTTTAAGGTAAAAAAAACCCCTACAGATAAATACTCTGCCTCTGGATTACAGAGCTTAAAATATGATGCCATCTCCCCCAGATTGTGAATGGGTTCCCTGAAGAGCTCCTTCAGTTCTGAGACCCTCCCTTCCCCATTCCCCTCCTGGGAGAATTGGAGAGGCAAAGGGCTGCTGTTCCAGCAGATTTGCAGGAGTGGGAGTTGAAGAATCAATGAAGCTCTGAAAGCCAGTGGGGAAAGTCATTCTGCACCTTCCTGACACCAGGAATAAATGATTCAGCTGGAAAGGGAAAAAAAAATCCAACAACCCTCAAATGAGGCTGGAATTACCCTCTGGAGAGATATTTCATCTTGAGGAATTGTGTTTGCTGCAGTGTTCATCTTACTGAGCCACAGCAAGGCTTTAATATCCAGCAAAAGGTCAAACCTAAATGGGAATTGCCAGAGCCTGCTGGAGCTCCTGCCTGCACATGAGCTCCCAACCCTCACAAGGAGCAGCTACGCCCAAACCAAGGCCTGAAACAGGGAATGGAGCTGAGCTGGACCACGTAAGAATATCTCCCTTCCCTGTGAGATATCTCCCTTCCCTATGGGATATCTCCCTTCCCTGTGGGATCCCAGACACAGCTCAGCCCTGCCCTCACTCCCTTTGGATGGGTACAAAAGGAACAGACCTGCCTGCCTGGGTGTCTTGAGCAGGGGGAGTTTGGAGAGAATGCTGAGAGCTTCCAGATGTTTCCACCAAAGGGATGTAACTGATTGTCAGGGAAGATGGGATTTCAAGGCACCCAGCTGTCAGCTGCTCCTCAGCTGGAACATCCATGCTTGAGGCACTGCCAGTGCCCTCCAAGTCCAGCACGGTCTGCAGGGCTGGGGGAGCTCTCTCCTCATGCCCATCAGCTCCCCATGGATAGACAATTTTTCCCACTTTTCCCACTTCTGCTTTGGTACTGCTGCTGTCTCACTCCCCCCACACATCTGTTTAGCCTCTCCTTGGTAATTTGTACCTTTCTTCCTTTCCTCAGACTCAGCTCTGCCCTCTGTGACTCTGGTATTGCCATGCCAGGCTGCAGCAGAGTTCCAGGGATAAATTAGGCAGACAGGAGGTGAATGCAGAGGTTCCCTGGGAGCTTTTAGCCTCTCCTTGGTGATTTGTACCTTTCTTCCTTCCCTCAGACTCAGCTCTGCCCTCTGTGACTCTGGTATTGCCATGCCAGGCTGCAGCAGAGTTCCAGGGATAAATTAGGCAGACAGGAGGTGAATGCAGAGGTTCCCTGGGAGCTTCCTGTCTCCTCTACACTGTGACAAAGGTGAGTGTCCAAGAAAAGAAAGGAGGGAACTGAGCCCTTCCTGACCCATCAAGAAGGCACAAAGCTCATCAGTGAGCTGAGCTGAGTAGAGGGAGGTTTTACCTAAAGCAGAGCTGAAAATCTGCTTGGGCTTTGACCTTGATAGCAAAACTGGTCCCATGCTACAGGCTAAATCCAGACCCTGCAAGGAAACAGATTTGGGAACTATCAACAATCCTGACAGCCCTGAACCTTCCACTGGCCACCTCAGTCATTCCACACAACGTGGAGCCCTCCTGTTTTCCTGTTCAGGACCTTGTCAACCTCTACCAATGCACCCTCATCCTGCCCAGCAATTCCAGCTGTCCTTTCAGCTCTTCCTGATGAACAAGGTGCCATCCCTGATGGGCAACATGCTGGTTTCTGTGCCAATGATGAGGAACATCCACTGGGGATGGAACCACCACTCTCACTTCCACATGTGACTCAAGCCAGGTTTCACTATGTACAGAGAGATTAAATTTCTCTAAGGTTAACACAAGATAATTTTTTGCTCAAATATTTACAGTTAGAGCTCACCAGAAAATCAACAGGATTCTGCTGGACAACACTCAACTATCCACATCCCCAAAAGGCAAACAGGGTTTTTATGTGGTATGTAAAGTATCCTGAGAAGCCATCCAGAATGAAGCCCTCACAGTTGCTCCTGGGCCAGGCTGGGTGTGTGCCATACATCCATGCCTCTGAGGGAAGCAGGAAAAACTTGCTGGCCTTTTCTCCCTAATAATGAGCCCACATGGACACAGCCAGAGCAGGTCACCAGCCCCTGCTCACATGGGCACACAAACAGAGGAGGTGAGACCATTCAGAACTGCACCCAGCAGCCACACACTTGGGAAGCTGTGGAGAATGGGGTCAGATTGCTTCTCCCTGGGTTTGGCTTTATGGAGCTGTTTGTGTCTCCTGGATGCAAAACTTCCCCGGCAATAAACCGGAGCTGTCATTTGGAGATCGTGTCCTTTCTATGCAGGATGTTTAAATCCAAGCCTCAGACTTGTGGTTGGCAGGGAACAGGGGCAAACAAAGAGCCAAACAATCTGCTGTCAGCTCCTGAGTGCCCAGTCTGCCCAGTTATCCCTCCTGTCCAGGGGGAATGGTGGAGTACAGAGGCAGTGGCTCAAGGGCCTGTCACAGATGGAAGCTGCTCAGACTTACAAGACAGAATTTAAAAAACCCAGCAGACAATAAGTGTGCTGAAACATTTAGGCTTTCCTCCCTCCTCTACAGGGTCTGTTGTTTCATGAGCAGAAGGAACACCCCCACAGCTGCAGTAAACATCTGGGGCTTGAGGAACATTCCCTGACTGCTTCTAAACCTTTGTTTGCTACTCCCCCAACCCCTGATCCTGTTTTTGACATGTCAACCTCCACTTGAGGCTCCCCCCACCTCCTCCTGAGACTGCTCCTGTCTGCTGTGTGTCCCCCTGAGGTTTCATGGTTTTCTGTTAGGGAAGTTTGCCAGAGCTGCTGTCAGGTGCAGAAGCTCAGGTGGAAATGGCACTCTCCCTCCTCTGCTCCTTTCCAAGGGTTAAGAGGGAGGGTGAGCACAGGCTGGATCCCTGCATGAAGAGCTCTGAAGGGAGCACAGACATCCTCAGATGTTACTCCCACCGAGGTGATTTAACAGCCTCCCCTTCCTAGCTGGACAACCAGCTTTCCAAGGGAGTCAATGATTTTCTGAGGCTTTTCTAATAGGCTGTGCTTTTCTGGGATGAAGCTCCTGCCTTTGAAGGTGTCTGATCTCTCCCAGAGCCCTGGGCTTTCTGCTTACTCTGCTCCCCCATGCAACCACGTCCTGCAAAGGCATCCCAGGCCAGCTTCTCTCTCTGCTGGGTGCAGAAACATTTCCCTGCAGCCAAAGTGTTTGTGCATGGTGCCCTCAATCCACCAGGCTCACAGGGAATGCAGGAGGGCACACAACCCCTTCCTCTTGGCTGCCACCACTGTCCCCTGTAAGCAGGCAAGCCCCAGCCCTACAGATGGCAGGCCAGCCCTCCCTGTGCTGCTGAATAAAGGAACACAGAGGCAGGGGCGAGGGGAATGCAGACAATATCCTAAACAAATCTGCTGTTTACAAAGTCCTCTGTAAACTGTTTACTTTGCTGGGGAGAAAGCAGGGAGGAACAGCAGCTGGAGAGGGCTCTTCCCAGCGGGAAGAACTCCACTCCTGTTTGCTGCACTGCTGTGGGAAGGAGTGGAGCTGATGCACATCTGGAAAGGGTGCAAAGGCTTGAGAGAAAAGAAGAGGCATCAACATCTACTCCCCCAGCCTGTCAGGAGCTCTGGCTACCTCAGCACTGCCTCCCAGAGCACACTGAGGAAGGTGGTCTGTCGCTGGGGTGCAAGGTGACAGGGAACAGCCAACCTCAGGCTCGGAGGATGCCTGTGATGGTCAGGCTGAGCTGTTCCCTGCTGCCAGAGGAAGCATCCCAGCCAGCCCTGAAGCTCACTTGGAGCCACTTGGCTCTTGGGCTGTGTGAGGAGCCTTGTGACTCTCATCCCTCAGAAATGTGTGGTGCCTCCTGCTCATGGTTAAACACGGGGCCTCAGGAATACCAGCTAGAACATTGCAAAGTGCTGGCATAAAATAAAAGAGTGTGCCTCTAATCTCCTTGTTTCCTGTCCATGGAAGGTTCTTTGAAGTGCCTGTGCTCAGGGCAGTGCTGGAACACCCGTGACCCAGCTGGCAGACACAGCCTGACTGCCCAAGCCCTGGGGCTGCCACGGGCAAGGAAGGCTCTGAGGGCAGACATGGAAGAGTTAAACCTCAAACACCCTGGATCAGTCCCCTTCACACTGGAAGGTTGATTTTGTTACTTGAGCAGGATGTGAGAAAACACAGCCTCCACTCAAGGAAGGTGATAAGTGCTGTGAGCCCAGAAATAGCCCCAGAGGGGCAGGGGAATGGGCAGCCAGCTGGAGCAGCAAGGACAGAGAAAACATCCTCCCTACACATGATATGGCAACCCCTGTCCTGCTGGTTGGAAAGAAATACAGGTACAATGACTAAAAAAAACAAAAAAGAAAGACAGCAAACTCAGGCTGCCCAGGGAAGCTGTGGCTGCCCCATCAAGGCCAGGTTGGATGGGGCTTGGACCAACCTGGGATAGAGGAGGGCATCCCTGCCCATAGCAGGAGGTGGAATGAGGTGATTTTTAAGGTCCTTTCTAACCAAAACCAGTCTGTGATTCTATGAATACAGGCACAGTGATTTTAAAAAAATAGGACATCGGTCAAACTCACCTATTTGGTGTGAAGGGCAGTGCTCCATCAGCAAGGGGTAAGGGATGTTCATCCAGATTTACTCTCACACACAGAACAATTCCACTCTCAGCACCCTCACCCTCCACCCAGTCATTCTTCCAGGGCTCAGTGGTGTCCCTTTGCTGACCAGGAAGAGGATGGAGGGGTCTCCCAGCAGAACCAAACACCTCAGCCAGCCAGAATGTCACGACATTGGCAGCACCTCTCAAAGACTGAGCTAAAAGAAAAGAGGAAAAAAAATACCCAAACTTTGTCAGGCCAAGCCATTACAAAAGACCATCAAGTTCCTTTGTTGAAGAAAAAAACTCAAATCCAAAAACATTTTTCACAGCCAACCCCAAAGAAAATTTGTTTGGTTTTGGTTTCAGAGCTTTTGTGCAGCTCTAAAAGCATCAGCCAGTTACATTTCTGAATGAAATGGCTCCTCAAAATGAAAACTTGAGCAATTTTGCTTTAAACTAAGTCAGAAAGGACTGGAGCTGTAATCCCACAGGAGTGCTGGATGTGTTTCCTTGGCTCAAAATGACTTGCTGAGTTTGCCCTGAATTTTGTGGATATTTTTGCTCGACACCACATGGCTCAGGCACAGTGACAAAGCACCTTCAGAGGAGCAGTGACCTGCAGGGATACCCCAGTGCTCCCTAAGCCTTGAGAAACCCCCTGTGGAGGTGGGTAGGCACAGTTTGGAATAGGTGTCAGGGCTTTTTGGTGAGTGAGCAGCCTTTCCCACTTCTATTTTAATTCTGAAGGTCACTTCTCTTCATACAACCAGCACAGCCAGGGCAAAGAGATTCCTTCATGCAACATCTCCAGTGTGAGCACCTTGCCCAAAAATCCCACAGGCAAAGGCAGAGGGACAGCACAGCAAATTAATCCAGCATAAATTCCCTCGTGCCTGGTGTGACAGGCTGGTCAGCACCTGTGTCCTGCTAATGACAAAGGCATCATCTCTTCCCTTCTTCTTCCCAGGGGTTTTATTACTACAAACCTTCAAAACACAGACAAAATGATCAGGAATTAACCCACACATTTTCTCAGCATGGAGCTGCAGACTCACATGTCAGGCAATGTCCCAAAATCACCTGCTGGAATGCTGTCCCAGACATGTACCTAGAGCAGCCCTACACTCTCAGCCTCCTCCTGGGCCTTCCAGGAGCATCCCTGTTGTATTTGCAGGGTGCCCCGATGAAGGAAGAAATGATGAGTCTGATCCCATGTTCTCAGAATGCTCATTTATTATTTTATGATCTATATTATATTAAAGAATACTAAACTATACTAAAGAATACAGAAAGGATATTTACAGAATGCTAAAAAGATAACAATGAAACTCGTGACTCTCTCCAGAGTCCTGGCCCTGATTGGCCAAAGAGTGAAAACAACTCCCAGCAGAACCCAATGGAACACTCACCTGTGGGTGAACAATCTCCAAACACATTCCACATGAGCACAACACAGGAGAGGCAAATGAGATAAAATTGTTTTCCTTTTCCTCTGAGGCTTCCCAGCTTCCCAGGAGAAAAATCCTGGGTGAAGGGATTTTTCAGAAAATGTGAATGTGCACATCCCCATCCCTCCCTGTTGATTTAGAGGATGGCTGGGATATGGTCTGAGCCCCTGGGAGCTGTGGGAAGGGGAAAAGCAGAGCTGGGAGGAGGCAGTGGCCTGGTTTGGGGTGAGGATCCATGTCCCCATGCTTGCCCAAGGTCAGGGGGCAGTGGGAGCTGCCCCCCACCCCTGCATCTCCTCACCCCTGTTTCCAGACAACCCTCCCTGCTGGCATGCCTCGGGCCCTCCCATGCATGCAAGTATTCAGGAATTCTTGCCATTAATTCCCTGTCATCCCCCAGACAGCTCTGCTGTGTGGAGGAGTGGCACAGAGCAGCAATTAGGGGGCAAAGACAGACTGCCAAGGGAGGCACTGAGGTCACACCTGTGCAGCTCCAGAGCTGTGCTGGGAGAAAGCCCTGACCAAGCTCCAGAGGGAACAGCAGCTCCTAAGTCAAACCCAAGTAATAAGGTGGGCTTGTAGGGGGAGAGATTAATCATTATTGGCAGCAAAGAATGTGCAAGTCTAACAAAAGCTAAAGGGTTTTTTATTACAGTCCAACTGCAGCTGGGAAGACAATGTTAGCTAAGAATCATTAAATCTGTTGCAAGAATAAATTTTCTTTGATCCAAACCATAAAATGGGAGTGAAATCCTCTTAAGCCAGCAGCAGCTCCTAATGGAACAGACATTATTATTTTTTTGCAAACCAATAATAGAAAATAAAAAAGGGTTAGATTATTAAGTGAATAGATTAGGCTCCCAAATGGTAAATATTTAGTCAAGCAAAACCTGCCTAATTTAATACCTGCCTCAATTAATTTTTCAGTTTGGGATTATAATTGAAAGGAATAAGGGCATTTTCTGACTGTACAAACAGGGATTCATGAACCCTCTTTGCCAGAACTCAGGCAGGAGAAGAAGGACCTAGGGAAACTTTCCCTTGCTAACCCCAGGTAATGTCAGAGCTGCTGCACATGCCAGAGATGAGCTGGCAGCTTCTGCAAGCCTGGAAGATGGAAGGTGAAGCCAAGGTCCCTCTCACAGATGGTCATTAAATTTCCTGAAACATCTGACCAGGAGGTCACTCCTGATATTATCAAACATTAAAAATATTACAGAAAAATTGAAGTAATTTCTTACTGCAGTCTGATATAGTCCCTGCTTTCAGGGCAAGCTTGGAGTATTTCTCCCTCAGTGCTTTTCCCTCTCTGCCAGACACAGGAGATGTGGGAAGGGAGTGGAACTCTGAGCTCCAGCATTCACATGGGCTCTGTACACCCAGGTGGGAATATTTACCTACCCAATCCCTTCTCAGGGGCAGGTGGTGCAAAGAGAGTGTGTCCTGTGCCCAGGGAGCCTTTTCCACTCCAGACACTGCTCCTCTGTGCTCTGGACAATCTGTCTTCCTCCTCCATGGGCTCTGCTCCCTTCCCACTCTCCAGAGGGATCCTTGGCTGCTCACACCTTTCAGGCCTCTAAAAAGTTACCTGATCTAAACTGGCCTCTGCACAGTGGAGCTTTGCATCAGCAAGTCAAGGGAGGGGACTCTGCCCCTCAGGTGAGACCCCCCTGCAGAGCTGCCTCAGCCCCGGGGCCCAGCACAGGGAGGACGTGGAGCTGCTCAGAGAGCCCAGAGGAGCCCATGGAGATGCTCTGAGGGTGGAGCCAGGCTGGAGAGCTGGGGGTGCTCACCTGGAGAGGAGCAGGCTCAGGGAGAGCTCAGAGCCCTGCCAGGGCCTGGAGGGGCTCCAGGAGAGCTGGAGAGGGACTGGGGACAAGGGATGGAGGGACAGGACACAGGGAATGGCTTCCACTGCCAGAGGGAAGGGTTGGATGGGATATTGGGAAGGGATTTGTGGCTGTGAGGGTGGGCAGGCCCTGGCACAGGGTGCCCAGAGCAGCTGTGGCTGCCCCTGCATCCCTGTAGGTGTCCAAGACCAGGTTGGACAGAGCTTGGAGCAGCCTGGGCGGGTGTAATGTGTCACTGCCTGTGGCAGGGGGTGAGACTGGATGAACTTTAAGGTCCCTTCCAGCCCAAACCAGGCTGGGATTCTCTGATTCTCTGACTTTTACAGCTCATATGCACAAAACACACTGATGTGCTCAGCAACAGCCATCCACAACAGCTTGCTATCCCCATCACTTACACCACAGTTCTTCTACAGATGAAGATTCCTGGAGCAACTCCACACCCCACTACTGATATCAGCACTAGCTCTGCCCTGGAAAGAACCTCATGGTCACTGGCTTGCAGCTGGCAACCAACTCTGCTCCTAGAAGCACACACTGCAGTAAGTGGGAAGAAGAGAAACATGTGAGTACAAACCTTCCTGCCTGCAAGCATTTCTGATCCCGGCTTGACCAGCTCAAACTCAGCTCCAGGAGTGTAAACTTCAGTGCATGTCTGAAGTCTTTTGGGGAGGAAGATGAGAAAGCAAATGGGTTTATCTGAAATAGATCTTGCTGTCATGTCAGAGCTCTGTTGCTTTTGATTTCCAGACAGGAACCTCGCTGGCAAGGGCTGGTAAGTGCTGCAGGCTTGTGCAGGCTCTCCACACAAATTCCTGCTGCAGGTCTGGTTGTATGTTGTGCACAAGGGCCAGTGGGGACAAAAATGAGAGAGAGAGAGAAATGGATTCAGTAATGAAATCTTGAAGTAAAAATGTGGCTGGTCAGATGACAGCAACAGAGGTCAGGAGTACTTTAGACCCAAACAGCTCTTAAATCCAGGTAAGAAACGGGACATGTGTGGAACAGCAGAATCATCAGAAATAGCAGTTAATCCCAAATTGGGAGCACGTAAAGCCCAGAGCTTGCCAGGGAACAACATGTCAGCAGGATTACGGGCAAACCTTACAGGGCAGCTGTGATTCTGCAGGCCTGAGAAGCCAATTGTGATCAAAGAGCCACGCAGGCACAAGAGGAAACAGCATGGAACCCAGAATCCTTCTCCTGAAGACAGATGGAGGTGAGTGACAGCCCAGCAGATCCTTTCCAAATCACCCCCTGGGTCCCAGGAGCAATGGATGGGGGACTGCTCACGTGATGCTGACTGACACGCTGCAAGATTGTCTGTGGGAAAGGAACAAGAGGGGTAATTTTATTGTCATGTCCCGCAGGGGGGTGTAAGGAAAATCACAGCATGAGAAAATGACAGTGTATCTGTCTGAGGTCATTTGCATGCCCAGATAATCTGTGGGAGGAGAGCCAGAGTCGCTGTGCTTGATAGAGGCAACACCACGACAATGGGCCTGGGAATGGGGAGATTTGCAAGCCCTGAAACCAGCCTGGTGTTTGCTGCTCTCAGAAACCAAAATGACCTGACTTCATCATTTAGGCTTCCACGATTACACTTGCCTCCCTCATTATGGGCTGTATGGTGGTTTCATCTTGCTGATGGCACAGAGGGACAGTCCCACGCTCAGAAGTGTGCCCACATCCCAAGGACACACTTAGGGGACACAGAGAGACCATACACAGGCAAAGGAGCACAAACATGAAGGCAGACACTGGGTAGCAGTAGCAGGGCAGCCCAGGAGATTTTAGCAGGGACCCAAAAGAAGGAAAAAAGGCTTTGTCAGTGGTTACAGGTTGCTCCTCTGCTGCAGAGGGAGTAACCTGGGAGAAGCACATGGTGGCAGATGGGAACTGGCATGGCTGGCAGGA